TAACCATACACCAATGATAATCACAATCTACAATAATAGAATCTCCCACAAGTGTGGACACATACACAGGAGCACTCAAAGAATCACGAGGCACAACCATAGATGAAGCAAAATAGGATGACACGTAGGAATAAGTGGAGCCCGGATCAAATAGAACTGAAGCATCTCTATGGCAAACTGGAACAATACCTGTGATAACAGCGTCAGATGACTTAGCCTCAGGCATAGCTGGGAAAGCATAGTATTGGGGTTGGCCCTACCACTCTGAACTACGTCGCTGGGACGGGCTCTAGCTGGTTGGCTTCCACCTCTAGCAGCCTGAACTCCACCTCTAGCGGCCTGACCTCCACCTCTAATGACCTAACCCCCATCTCTGGCTGCCTGACCCCTGCCCCTGGCTGGCTGAGCGGGCAGTGAAGCAACCGGTGCCGAAATCATGGCACGAGAACTCTGTTGTGGCATGTCGCCCAATAATCTCGGACAGGACCTCCTAATATGCCCAATACCACCACACTCAAAACACCCATCCTGCTACTGTGGCTGCTGAAATTGAGGGTGACCCGAACGTGCCGGATAACCATGGTGATAACTATAAATCGGAGGCGCAATGATAGAAGGTGATGGTGCACTGTAGGCTGGTTGCCCAGAATAAGGCACATAAGGACCACGACTCCATGAAGCATTGTGAGATGCCTGAAGCGCGGACTGAAATGGCCTGGGAGGATGGCCTCTACCAAAAGTACCCCTGCCTCCAAATGAGGCACCACTAAAATCACCGGTATGACGAGGCCTCTTATCCGGCCCCTGCCCCCTCTCTTGAGCAAGAACCATCTCGATCCGCCTAGCAATATTTGCAGCCGTCTGAAAGAAAATCTCACCCCCGGTCTCCTTGGACATCTGTAGCCTGATAGTGTAAGTGAGTCTATCAATAAACCTCTTCACCCTCTCCCCCTCAGTAGGAAGCAAGATGAGGACATGACAAGCTAGATCCACAAAACGTGTCTCGTATTGAGTAACAGTCATACTGTCGTGCTAGAGATGCTCAAACTGCTTGCGGTAATCCTTCCTCGGTGTGATAGGGAGGAAATTCTCTAAAAATAGCTGAAAGAACTGATCCTAAGTAAGTGCAGGCGACCCAGCTGGTCTGGTCAACATATAGTCTCTCCACCACCTCTCATATGAAACACAGCAAAATTGACCTCATTGGTCTCAACTATACCCATGTTCCACAACACCTCATGCAGTGGTCAAGATAATCGTGTGGGTCTTCAGAAGGTGCGTCACTGAAGTGAACTGGAAAGAGCTTAGTAAACTTGTCCAATCTTAATAAAGCCTCAGAAGACATGGCGAGCTTATCACCGGCCTGTGCCGCAATAACTGGCTGAACTACCCCAACTGGCGGGGCTACTGGAGTCTGATACTGGGGAGCCATCTGCTCCGGAGTGTGAGTAGCAGGAGTCTGTGCTCCTCCCCCAGCACGAGAGACGGCTGGTGCCACCAAAAAGGTTCCGATCTGGGCCACACTCTCTATAAGGCCCACCAAACGGACTTGAGCGTCCTGAAGCACTTGAGTGGCGATGAACCCTCCGGGACCTGAGCTGGTCCAATAGGTATAGTCTGAGCTGGAACGTGCTCATCAAAATCTACCTGAGGCTCCACTGCTGGTGCTGCTGCTCGAGCTCTGGGCTGAGCCCTGCCTCTACCTCAGCCTCTGGTGCGATCTCGGCCTCGACCTCTGCCCCTTGTAGGAGCTACCACTAGGGGCTCCGGCTGCTGTCCAGCTGAAGATGTAGTACGTGTTCTTGCCATCTGCGAGAGAAGAAGAATAGAAGAGTTCAATCGTGAATGATAGAATAATATTCGCACGATAGAAAAGAATAGAAGTGATATTGTTCCTAAACTCCATAGACTCTGGAAGATAAGTACAGATGTCTCCGTACCGATCCTCCAGACTCTACTAAGCTTGCTTGTGACTCGTGAGAGCTAGGCAACCTAGTGCTCTGATACTAACTTGTCACGACCCGAAAATTCCACCTTCAGGACCGTGATGGCACCTAATATTTCACTTGCTAGGAAAGCCAATGTTTGAATATTTTATCCGTTTTTGACAGTTAAAAATTAAATAATAATAATAATAAAGAAGCTGAAATAACTACAATAGATCTAAGGTAAAGTGCGGAAACCATATCAACTGAAATATCTAATACCACCATGGGCCTGGTGTCACAAGTGCATGAACTTCTAAAATAGTACACATAAAGGTCTGAATAAAAGTATAAAGCTGTCTGAAAGAAAGTACACAGTGAAAAGTAACAAAAGGGGACTATAGGGGCTGCGGACGCCAAACAGTTGTACCTCAAATCTCCACCCAATCACCAACCTGAGCAATCTATGAACCGCCACTGGGATCGACTCCAAAATCTGCACAAGAAGTGCAGAATGTAGTATGAGTACAACCGACCCCATGTACTCTGTAAGTGCCGAGCCTAACCTCGACGAAATAGTGATGAGGCTAAGGCAGTCACTTACAATAACCTGTAAGCAGTATAAAATAATGGCAGAAAAGAAAATGCAGGAAGGAATTAAAGCAATTAATACATGAAAATCTCAACCTCCGAAAGAAAACCAGTACATTCCAGAATACCAATCCTTAGAGTCTCGTATGAAAATACCGAAGCCAACACAATGCGATAAGGAAATAGAAGCACATAGACTGTTACGACGCGCAATCCGATCCCACCGTACAATACAATCCTCCCTTATTCCACCGTAATAATATCAACAATAGTAAATAAATATATGTTGCGGCGCGCAACCCGATCCCACCATATAATCAGAATCAGCATCAGCATTCACCATTATTTCACCGCATCAATCTATCCTTATTTTACCTATTGCGACGTGCAACCCGATCATACCGTACAATATGAATAAATCAATAAGTGCATTTAATTTAACAACATAAATCACAAGAATCCTCTACGAGTAATGGATATGAGGCAGAAACAGGAAGAAAATCTCGTCTCAAATTAAGAATCTGCTACAAAGAATACTAAACAGCAAGACAATTTAATAAATGATAACAAAGGGTATAAACAAGTCATTTACGGAAAGTAGCAGTAATTCATAAAAGCAAGGGAAAATCTAAAACCTTTAACACGAGAACAATAAGTGACAAGTAGCAAATAAAGGCAATGGAAATATTTAAAGCACGTAACAGTTAAGGTATGGAAGGAAATAATTAATGGAATGCAAAAAAAAAGGGAAACAAGTAATCCGACGACGTATAAGCACTAGTCACCTCGCATATATGCCGGAACACATGAATTTCACATAGCACATAGTTCAAGGGTTCCTAATTCCCTCAAATCAAGGTTAAACCCAACACTTACCTCACTTCGCAGTTAACTCAGAGTTCTACTGTGGCCTTTCCTCTAGAATCGCCTCCAAACCACTTGTATCTAACCACAATCGACTCGATAATGTCAAATAATGCTAAGGGAATCAATTACAATACATAAAGATAGGATTTTTACACTTTTCTCAAAAAGTCAAAAAATTGTCAACCCCGAGCCCGCTTGGTAAAAACTCGAGGTTCGGACCAAAACCCATTTACCCATTCACCCCCGAGCCCGATTATGTAATTAATTTCAAAATTCAACCCCAAATTGAGGTGTAAATCCTGAATTCGCAAAACCCCCAATTCTTCCTAAAACCCTAGTTTTCTACCATGGAAGAACACATATTAAGGCTAGAAATTAATGGGTGATGTTAGAAATGGAAAAAATGAGTTAAAGTGTACAAACATATGAATTGGTGATGATTTTTTCCTTCAAAAAGGCCTCTAGGCCGAGCTCTAATGGAAATTTTATGAAAAATGAGTGAAATCCCGTTTTTGAAAGATTGAAATCACTGGGCGTTAGGCCTTTTTCGCATTCGCGAAAGGCCTGACGCAATAGCGAAAGGCAGCGACCCAAAAAGGCCTACGCGTTCGCGAAGGCTACTCCCCCAGGCCTCCGCGTTCGCGAGCCAATGGTCGCGTTCGCATAGAGTAAAGCTGGTCCACCCCCCCCCCCCCCAGGTCCATAACACTACACGTTCGCGATATGCTGCCCGCGTTCGCGAAGGGCAGCCCCCCTCCACTTCGCGTTCGCGTCTAGTTTTTCGCGTTCGCGTAGGATAAAATCCTCCCTTGCCCAATCATGAAGTACAATACACCAGGTGACAGTTGAAGCTCAAAAACCAGAAATTCTAAGTCCGAAATGTTCCGTAGCCTATCTGAAACTCACCCCAGCCCTCGAGGTTCCAAACCAAATATGCACACAAGTCCAAAAATATAATACGAACACGCTCACGCGATCAAAACACCAAAATAACACTTAAAACTACGAATCGGACACCAAAACGAATGAAATTTTTAATAAAACTTAAGAACTCCCATTTTTAACAACCGAACGTCCGAATCATGTCAAATCACTTCTGTTTTGCACCAAATTTTGCAGACAAGTCATGAATACAGTAATGGACATACACCAAGTTCCGGAACTAAAATCCAGACCCGGTATCAACAAAGTCAAACATCGGTCAAATTTATAAATTCTTTAAACCTTTAAACTTCAAATTTTTAATAAATTGCGATAACTCGAGTTAGGGACCTTCGAATTCGCTTCTGGGCATATGCTCATTCCCCAAATCATGATACTGACCCACTGGGACCGTCAAAACACGGTTCCGGATCTGTTTTCTCAAAACGTTGACCGAAGTCAACTCAAATAAATTTTACGACACGAATTCACATTTTAATCAATTTTTTACATAAAAGCTTTTTGGAAAAAGGCACGGACTGCGCACACAGATCGAGGAAGGCTAAAAGAAACTATTTGAAGCTTCAAAACACAGAGTTAAGGGTTAAAGCTCTAGATGACCTATCAGATCGTCACACTTTTAACATGCGGGGTGATTGATATAAAGTCAATAAAAATAAAACATGCAAAATGAAGTTAAGAAAAAAGGTGGACACTTTTGTATAAAATAATATTCATCCATAATGTACTGGCAGGTTCATTCTGATCTGCAATTGAACATTTGTAACCCAAAAAAAAACATAAATATTTAACGGGGCTTTGTGTTTTTGTCCCCATATATATGGTAGTAACAACTACCATCTAAACTTCTATATACAAAAAGAAAGAAAGAAAAAAAAAGGTGACTTGCCAATCAAAAGAATAAAGCTCAATTTAGCTCCCCTTCGAAAATTAATCACAAGTAAAGTTGCTCAAACTTCCAACACCTTTGACCAATCTTGGGAAATGACATTATTCATGTCAATATCATCATTAAGTAAATAATCCAATGTCTTGCTGAAATCATCTTCCCAATTGAAATCATATTGCCAATTATCAAACCGCAAATCTTCAAGAATTATGGATGATGTAGAAGAAGAAGAAGATGTTGAAGGGGTTGATTCAGAAGGGATTATAATTTCATGTGGTTGAATCAACGGGACTTCGTCTGTACAAAAGCTTGTCGCCGTATTCTTATTATTGTTGTTGTGGTCGTCGTCTTCTAATTTGATCTCTGTGATTGTTGACAATATAGGAGTTTCAACCAGCTCCTTGTTGTGATCAAGAATATCCATTATTTCTGGGACAACATGAGCTGGGGAAATTGGCATTGTTGTTTGTTTTTCTTGTTGAATAATTGGTTGATTTTTTGTTGGTTGTTCTATGCTTGGTTGGTCAACAGTAATTGGCTGGTGAGTGACTGGATCAATGCCCATTTTCTTCAGCTTCTTCTTGATATGTGTATTCCAGTGATTCTTTATTTCATTATCAGTTCGTCCCGGTAAATGAGAAGCAATCTTGGACCACCTGCAACACAATTTGGTCAGGTAATGAAATGAGGGTATTTTTCAAAAAATAAAATAAAATTATGTTGTATGCACCTAATGATGAAATATTTATACGACCATATCACTTACAAAATATTTACGAGTATATTTTATGATAAATATTAACTGATTACGTAGTAAAATAGTAAGTAATCAGCAGTCATACAATAAAATATATTAATAGTGTAAAAGCTCTTATGCTGTCAATATATATTACTTAAATCCTTTTACTAATAGGATAAAAGGAGAAATACTCTACACATGGAATAACATCAATCAACTATGTCATAATTCAAGAATAAATTATGGCAGTTATACAAATTCTTTTCAATATATGTTTCGTTCTATTCAGACCTACTTTTCTAATATTAATGTATTAATAATCATTAATCATTATCCGAGAAAAGGAAAACGAATTTTTGAAGTTCAATATTACGATAACTTATTTCCCACTTGTGTAAAAAGTGTATTGAATAGACAAAAAGAAAATTGATTATGAATAATGACAGTTGAAAGGTACACAGTGGAGAATGGGTGCCTAAAATTGAGTTGAAGTTGTTGTCTGCCACTCTAGACATCATTTTAAGTCACTCCTTTTCTTTGTTGAAGTTGCTTTAAATGAGCTTCACATAACATATACGCATTGGCGAATTCAGAATTTAGACGCAATAAAATTTAGGTTAAAAGATTCAGAAAAAACATATCTAAATCTATTTATATTTATTTTTTTCGCTCACACACACATGTATAGAGTTAGATAACGAAAAGTTAGATTATGCCAAACCCGTGAACCCAGGGGCAAAGTTATGTGTGGCCAAGAGTGACAACTGAACACTCTTTGCCGAAAATTTATACCGTAAAATATTACTTATTATTGACTAAAAATTAGACTTTGAACACCCTTGTATAGCCTACTGGCATCTTGAACACCCTTATTAAATTTTCGCTTTCGCCGCTATGAGAACCTATAGTTGAATCCAAATATATATCACAAAGCTAAAGGTGGAATCACAGATGATAATTAGCCATAAACAGAAATAAATTTGCATGGTTTTATCAACAGATGAATGGTTTTAATTACCTGTTGCCAAGCTGAGAATGAAGATCAATAACCATTTTCTCTTCATATTCAGATAGAAGTCCCCTCTTCAAATCTGGTCTTAGATAGTTTGTCCATCTCAATCTACAGCTCTTTCCACATCTCAGCAACCCTACACCAAATATGCCATCACAACATTATTTTTGACGAAATTAAAGAAAAAAACAACATTCCAAGAATCATTGTATTTCTAAACTATCTGGTGAATACTTCTTCTATCAAGAAAATAAATTTATTGTCTGTCATTTTCATTAATAAAAGAAAAACCAATTTTTATTAACAAAATCACCCTAGCTTTGGATTTCTTTTGTAGAATTGGACCAATGGGTTGGTACAATCATTCAAATTAAACCACCCCCTTTTCATTTTTAATTAGCTTATTAAGGGCACAACCCCTGCACCTTTTTACCCCTCCCTATATCAGTGGAGAAGTCAGAAATTTCACTAAAGGCGTTCTCCTCCCTGTATCAGTGACGAAGTTAGAAATTTTACTAACGACGTTCAAGATTTTCTTTTTAAATAATATATATACGTCGTACAAAATTTTACAGCAAAAGGTATTTAACTGACCACCCTTCGACACAAGCAACCATGTCAACTAGAGTAAACAAAATTTAGGAAAAATGAGAGAGACCTGCAAGTCTAGGGAGAGATCTCCAGCAGCATTGGCCATTAATAAGAATGAAGTTAATAAGCTTCTTGTCTTCTTCAGCTGACCATGGACCTTTCTTTACTCCATCTTTGTCACAACAAGGTTTTCTCCCCATATTCTTCTACAAAACAATACTAACCAATAATTTTAGCAAGATTTATTGTTGATGAAGATAGATTGAGAGAGAAAACTGTAGGAGGAGAAAAGAGTTGCAGAAATGTAAGAAGAGACCCTATAGAATAAGTCTATTAAGACAAGCACCAAAGACTACCTACATATATATAAATCAAAATCTACCCCCCTCCCCCTCCCCCACCCCAAAAAAAAAAACAATATTGGTATATAACTAATTTTTCTTTTGGATTCACATAATATTCCCTTATGTAAATATTAGTAGCTAGTATAATTTAATTTTTGAAAAATAAATTAGTTACCATACTTATACATTTATTAGATTACCAATTAGTAATATAAGACTTATCACAGTAATAATGCATCTATAGTTTACTGAGAAGGGAATGAGAGCCTTTGCGTAACTGATAAAGTTGTTGTCATGTGATCAGGAGGTCACGGGTTCAAGCATGGAAACAGCCTCTTGCAAAAATGCAGGGTAAGTCTGCGTACAATAGACCCTTATGGTCCGACCTTTAAGTCATTTTTTAAAAATTTATTTATAGATTTAAAGATATGTTTTTAAGAAGAAAATTTTGACTTTCACCACATGTATTCCAGCGCGTGACATTGTTACCTTGTGAAAGCGCCACCTCAACATCTCCTTTCCTCTCTTTGCTTTAGTTTGAAGAATTAAGTCTGGGACAATACTCAAACTCTCATAGTATAGGTCTAGGAAATGGTCTTATAATTGTATTTTAAGAGCAACTTTTGTGTAATTATAATATACTTCAGATAGTTTTCTATGCCTTGACAGTATAACTAATCTTTAAATATTTAATGTACTTAAATACAGAACAAAAGATAAGATGTTCCTGTAATCCTTATTTCTTTCAGCGCTCATTATAATTCTATTATTTCTTTTGTTTTATTTTATAGTTTTGACTTGGCGTAAAATTCAGAATATAAAAAATACTTTTGAATCTAATATAACATACCAAAAGTATGTATAACTTACCAAAAGTCTTAAACTAAAAAAGTGTATAACATACCAAAAGAGAGTTTCATTAAGTGTAAAATAAAATATTGGGATTAAAAATTTACTAAAAATAAAACTGTGATATTTTTCATCTATTAACAGACTTAAAAAAAAAAAGTAAAAACGCATAAATTTAAATGAATGGACTATACTCTAACATTTATCAGTTATAAAATAGAACCCGAAAGTTACTATAATTATATGTTTATCCTGTATATCTTCACAAGTATGATAACAATTTGTTGCTTAATAAAAATATGAAAGAGGGTAGTGTTCTGAGTTTTGATTATTCGAGATAGATTCCCATGATTTTTTTAAATCTTTTTTCCCCCCCTTCATTTTTACCTGGTCCATGAAGTTGAAAGAAACTCCAAACTTAACTTGATTTCTTGAAGTTAAATTCATCAAAAAAAGGTAAAATTATGAAAACATTATTCTTTCCTTAGACATAAATTCAGGGGATATATAAAGTATTCATTAATTTAAGACTCTTTAAATGTGTATATACAAGAATAGTATACATCTATACTCCAAAATGGAGTCACATTCGTGTACACTAAGTAAAAATTTGCCCCACTCTTGTCTAAAGATTAGGACCAAAGAAAATGTCCTTCGCCAGCTGGTGGTCAAAGTTAGTGTAATATACTGTTTTTACCAAATTCATAAAATACAAAAAGTCTACTAGAAGACTAATTAGAGTGAGTAAAATATATATAATAACTAATATGTGCAAATATACCCAACTTTTGTGTCGTGATTATTTGTTTTGAATAAAGTTTGATAATGTCAATTGACAGTTCAGATATTCGATATTGCCAATCTCTATTTTCCTTTTTTTTATTTACTTTCTGTTTGAAATATAAGATATATACAAGTAGTATATAATCTACTCTTAGATGTTACACCTAATTTGTAACCATATATATAGTAAGCTATTAATTTGTTTTTCTCTTTGTTACCGAGTCAACAAATTTTCTTATATATTCACTTGAAAATCTAATTTACTGTCAAGTAGGATATCAATATTGATAAATGGATGAAGGATAATGTTTAGGTCAAGTCAATCTAGATTGATTAAGAAAATTAAGGATTCCAAACAAGAGAAGAATAAGGCAGTTTGTCCATTAACTCGTTTGTTACTTTTTTATGCCTATTTGTTTTTCCAGTAACAGTTGCTTGGTTGTCGTTACGTATCGTTTCATAATGTATTGTATTGTATTGTAATATATTATTTGGTGAATATAACGTTTGGATAGATTGTATCGTTTGTCGTCGTTTCATAATGTCATGCACCAACTATATGAAAAATAAACTTGCAATACTACTAAGAACAATAGTATACGGAGTAAAATTATCATATAAAAGAGTAGGGTAAAGGATAAAATATGATTATCCAATAATAAGGAAGGGCAAGATGAGAGAAAAAAGCAAGGTAACTGTTTGACCAAAAAAGTGTGAGACCTTTTATTAAACTAACTAAGTGAGAAGATAGAGGATAAATCCTAGCCAAAGATAATAAACTCTAGATCAATGAATGCTAAGTAAGGACAATTGGGTAAGGTTAAGCTCATGAACTCATTAAGATAATGGAAAAAATCTAATGTGTATGATGAGCTTACATTCATTCTCCACATCGTTACTCCACAATGTAAAATAAAGAAGAAAGAAATGATTCACCATTAATGACCACGGGGTATGTCTTTGTTTATTCCATAACGATGGCTATAGAAAAACAATAGCAAGGTTTCGAACCTTCTCTCATTTACAAGATGGATTCTTCAATTCCCATCCCCTGTCAGTGAAGAAGTGTGTGATTTGTATATCTCCCCCCTTTCATCGTTCTCTCACCTAGTATATATACTAGGTATTCTCATTTACACAACGGTCATTAGCCAGAGTACCTAATCCATTTAACTATATTACAACTTGACCCTCTGAAATGCCGTAACATCCAATTCACCATACAAGCATTCTAAGTACACGACCTCGGCCGTGGCCGTGGTGCTTGTCGCTATAGCGTTGTACGAAAACGACTTCGGCCCAAGTGACTTTTTGTCGTTCCTCTTCACGCAGATTCTTGTTTGCTCAGATTTCGACCCATATAGTTAGTCCCTCCGCCTATCGGGGTTGTCTCTTGGCGATATCGCTTGGCGGACCCTGTCGATTCGAAAGTTGTGAGAAATCTGAGCACTTTGGGCGATGGGCGAGTTCCTCATGGCGAGGTAGCGACGTGACATTTTGAGAGCTGCATCAGACCGTCACGTTAGTTTAGAATGTCATTAAACTCCTCATGCGTCATTATGGCGCACGTTTTCTATGTGTTGTGTCATTTCCCGTGCCCCTTCCGTTATTTTCAAAAAATGGCGGTGTTTGGTTTCCCTGCACAGAATACTCGTATCCCTATAAATAGGGAAAAGTTCCCCATTTGAATGCAGTGTCCCCCAATCGTTCACAGGAAAACCTTAAGGCATTCCTTCTTCTTCTCCAGTCCCTCGTATTTCCTTTTCTGCTATCAATTCTCGTGGCTGTTACCTTCCTTTCTTCACATTCCCGATCTGTGCAATCAACCAATGAGATGGCTAGTGCATCTTCCAACCCTGATAGAGTTGTTGGTGCCCCGGTACCGGAAAATGATATACCTCCACTCGAAGAGGGAGGTGGAGGATGAAAGTTCTCCAACGGTGGATGAAGTGGTCCCTCGCCCAGGAAAGGCAAGGACTGACTTCAAGAGCCTTGCTGAGGATGAGTTTGAACCTGTTATGTCTACGATGGATGCCGTGGTGCTCACGGAGTTTAAAACCAAGTGAAGAATCCCTGATCACATTGAACTGGTTCTGGCCGGTCGTGACATAGTGCATATACACCGCCCGGGCTACTGCGCGTTTTACGCATATCCATTTGTCATTGGATACACGCTTCCCCTTCCTTCCTTGGCGGTGGACTTCTGCCACTTCTATGAGGTGTGTCCGGCTCAACTTTCTCCGTACGTATACAAACTCTTTCTTATGCTTATCAAGTACGCGGAGCTGGTCAATCGGGGAATTTCTCTACAACACATGCTTCACCTCTTCGTCCCCCATTTTTATAGGGGCACGATGATTCACCTTCATCACTGAGGAACCAAGGGTTTGGTGGTGAAGATGGATGATAAGGCCAATCGACGCTTCTGGGAGAACTTCTTTTATGTCCGAACAGAGCACGTGGTATCGAACTCCGCGGAGTTTCCTGAGGCGTGGAATTTTGCCCATAGGTCTTCCTCTCTTTTTATTATTATTTTTTTGAATGGCTATTGGTCGTTTCCCTTTAGTGATCTCGTCGAGGGTTTTTTGTTTTTGCAGCTGAGAGGCTACCTCTTCCGCAAGTTGCTGACGTTTGCGGGTGGGTGAGCTCGATTATGCCCCACACGATGGGGATTCGTGAATGGGCACCTTTCCACGAGAAATTTGGGTGCAAACCTTCCGCTGGTGAGTCGGCTTGTTTCGTCCATAATCGCTTTGTTCTTCGCTCCGTATTTTTCTTTACCTTATATCTTTGTTTGGTCGAATTTCTCTCATTGACAGGTCGGAGAGGAGCGAGAAGGGCGAGGGCTCCTGTCCATGCTTTTCGTCAGCCGTCTTCTTCTGCCAGGCCCGTACCAATGGTAGCTGCGGATGAGGGCATCCAAAGTCTGGCTGCTCTTGGTCGGACACTCTGGTCCCCACAGTTCGTTCGATGGACAAACCTTCTCATGATGGTGGCGAAGAGGACCCGTCAAAGAGGCGGAGGTTAATGTCGGAGGGGGCGTCTTTGATAGAAACGCCCTCGAGGGGTGACCCTGTTTCGACGGTGTCTGAAGCCGGAGGTGATGCCATCCTGGGTATGGAGGCGATGCTCGTTTCGGGCGTGGAAGAGGCTGCCATGGCAGGGGGACGGAGTTCGAAGGCCGCCGCGATTGTTCCGAGCGGTCCATCAACGTCTCGGCAGTCCCGCACCCCCTCTTCGGCTAATGAGAGGTTGAAGGGCGTAGTTGTAGATGATTATGAATCTGATTCTGATATCGATCCTGAGGACATGAGGATGTTCGAGGAAGGTTTTACCAGGGTCGATGTGAGGGTGGGAG